GGAGTACTTGAGTGGAGGCCCAATGTCCTTCTGCTACCTTAATACTAAATCTATAAATGTAGGCTCATAGATCTATTTCCCCATCCTCATATAATATATTTGATATGTACATGTCTTTATCTAGAGCTCTATAAATACCCTTTGCCTCCCAGCTCTTTCCTCTATTTCCATTGATTCGGATGATCTTAAGTACAATTTTATTTGTGTGTGTTATCAATGACATCGTTCTATAGTTTGAGCATTCTGTTGGGTCACCCTTCTTTGGAATGGGCACAGATATGGATCTCCTCAAGTCAGTTGGCTAGGTAGCTATCTTTCAAATTTCCTGGCATAGACCAGTGAGTGCTTCCAGTGCTTCATCAGCTTCCTGACCCCCGGTATAGCCACGGTAACAAATAGGTTGGCAGTTTATTTAAACATTAATCATACACCTACCATTGACTTAGTTATTCCACCCTTTGCTTTTTGCTCCAAATTGTATGTTTGCACAAATAACGTACAATTATCAATACTGTAACAGTCAGTAGCCCAAACTAGAAACATCTCAAATCTCTATCAATAGGTAGAAGTATTATATAAACCAGTTGTAGTGTATGAGTACAGTGGAGTACTATTTAACAATAAGAAGGTGTGAATTTTTGCTACATGCAGCCACATGAATGAATCTCAGAATCCCATGGTTCGTGAAAGAAGTCAAACATAAAAAAGTAAACACGGTGAGATTGAATTTACAGGCAGTCCTTGTATGACGAATGAATTCTGTACCTAAGTCTGTCTTTAAGCTGAATTTGTATGTAAGTTAAAACATTTAGTTAGAGTTCATGTCTCACATCAGTCTTAGTATATACTGTGCTTGCAGAAACACTTCCAGATATACTAGAACATCTTTAACATGACAATAACGTAATAATAAAAAAATAGTAATGCCTGAAAAGATGTTTATGGTGACAAAAAGGAGATTGGTGGTTACTTATGGTGGGTGGCAAGATAATGAGCAGATGGAGGAGGGAATTACCAAGACACACAGGAAATGTTTATTGTCTTTATTGTTGCAATAGTTTTATGGATGTATACAGTAGGGGTCCCCCCCAAAAAAGGAAAAAAAACCTCTGCTGGGAGGAGGCTTTGTAGTACACATTTTTCCTGCTAGGCGAGCACCAAACAATTCGCTCCCAGTTAGTGCACCCAGTGGTGTTGCTTGGGAAGGCTCTCTATGATCACAGTGAATTTTTTTGTAAAAGCAGTTTCACTTGAACCTTGTTTTATGTGATGGCCAATTTAGGAGAACAGCGTGTGGCTGTCAGATTTTGTTTCCTGCTCGGGAAAAATGCTGCAGAAGCTGTTGTGATGTTGAACACAGTGTACAAAGACAGAGCTATGGGAAAAACTCAAGTGTATGAGTGGTTTTTTTTATTGCAAAAAGTGAAATGTTGACTGATAATGTCCATCAACTTCCCAAACAGATGAAACTGTCGACAAAATTCTTGCACTTGGGTTAGAAGACCGATGATGACGGGCCACTGAAGAGAAGGGGATATTATCTGGACTATCTTGGAGCTCGGGGCAGCAAATTTTAACAGAAGATTTGGGAATGAGAAGGGTTGCTGCGAAAGTTGTGCCTCCGGTTCTGACTGGCCAGGAAAACGAGTGTCGAGTGGAAACATGCTGTGCCTTGAAAGAACAGCTCTAATGTGACCCAGACTTTTTTCCAAGGTCATCACTGGTGACGAGACCTGGTGCTATTCTCACAACTCCCGAAGCAAACAGTCAAGCCTGTGGAAGACACCATCGTTACCTCGCCCTCCCCAAAGTCATCAAGTGAAATGAAAGATCAAGATGATGCTCATTTGTTTTTTTGATGTCTGGGGAATAGTGCATTTGGAGTTTGTTCCACCAGAGTCATACTGTTAATCAAACTTTCTATGTAGCGCTTCTGAAAAGATTGCATAACAGTGTGCAGCAAAAGAGGCCTGATTTGTGACAGATGGGGAAATGGTTTTGCCACCGTGACAATGCACCTGCTCACGCAGCCATCTCAGTGTGTCAGTTTTTGACAAAAAAACAGCAAGCTTCTCTTGCCCCATGCACCTTACTCACCTGTCCTGACTCCGTGTGACTTCTTTTTGTTTTTGCACTGAAGAAGGACGTGAAAGGAGAGTGATTTGATGACTTGTAGAAGAAAGAGATGAAGAAAAGAATCAAGGGAGGTGTCAGCCATCCAAACAGATGAGTTTGAAAAATGTTTCCAAGAATGAAATCACAGATTTGACAAATGTGTTAAGTGTAATGGAGAGTACTTTGAAGGTGATAAGGTTGTTTTGTAAAAAAATTTAAATACATAGCTTTTGGGAGAAAAAAAAACTGCTTTTTTGGGCTCCCCCTGGTATTTGTGTGTGTGTGTATGTATAGTATACTTTATGTTTAGTATATGTGAATTATAACATGCTAAAGCTTATAAATAAGTAAAGCAAGTTCTCAAGAATTCATCTTAAGTGTTATTTCCATACTGCACTCCTACAGAGAAAACAAATGAGGTGATTCCAACTGTTAACTATAATTCTGGAATATGATCATCCATATCTACTTTAAGTACCAACGTATTTGATTTGTTTTTCAGGCAACTACTCTGAGAGTGAGGAAATTGGAAGAAAACATTGAAGCAGAAAGAGCAGCGCACTTAGAATCAAAATTTAACTCTGAAATCATCCAGGTAAGCTGTAAAGGATTTTTCTAGTGGATTTTCTTAAGTTGTATTTCAACATCTGAGACACACAGCATTATATTTCGAGAACTGAGGTGAGCAGTTGGAGTGAGTGCTCTGTGACACCTGTGTTGCGTATGCTATGATGATAGAGTTGAGCAGTCCTTACGACATCCGAGGAGGGGTTAGCACACTCGTGTCCTGGGGCTAAACCTGCCCACTGTCTCTTCTGGTGAAGTTTCCTTTGTCCTATGGCTGGGTTTGTGGACAGCGGCAAAGTAGTGAGCTGTGATGGAGCCCTTAAGCTGAAAACATTTACAGAAAAAAGTCTTTTTACCATCAGCCAGGAGGTGAATTTCTCTTGTGAGCATATAAACATGCGACGCAATTTACTGAGCGTATATCTGGTGCATATACCTGTCCCTACATTAAGAACTGAAATAAAAAGGCCAATGAGTTCCCCTTGGGAATTCGTATCAAGCTTCAGAAATCTCTCTGTCTATCCTTATCCAAATGTGTATGTACGTCTACATCGAGCTGTATTGACTGATTAATTGATGCATGTAGAGACACCACATTCTGAAAACACTCTAAGAGCGCAATAAAGAGAGAATCTATATGGGAGAGAAAGATCAAGCATGGCACCCTAGGGAAACTGTCCTTTTTGCTCTGTCTTGGACAGGGAGGAGGAAATTTGAAGATAAGATAGGGATAAGATAACCCTGCCTATGGACTGTATGCAAAATTATTAAAACCGTATTATCTACTCAATGATTTAAAACTAATACTTGATGCTGTTTTAGGGTACAAGAGAGACCCCACCTCAAATATAAGTGAAGGAGAACCTCTATTGGGGCTCCTGATGAGGGAGACTGTTAGCATGAGGTCAAAATGGCACCTGAGGACTCAGAGTTGGACACTAGTTAAATAGGCATGGAATAAAGGAACTGTCACAAATTCATGAATGATGGCAGATCAGACCATCACAGTGTCAGGTGGGGCTACAGGAGCAGGAACAAGACCATGTTTGGGACATGTACATTATGTTAGGTAGAGGGCTTACACGATTGGTCCACTGCTTTCCGACCAAGGTAGCCAAGGTGAGATTGATAGGGTAAGACTCTTGACTATGTGACCCCTGTGTTGTTCCCAGTAGGGTGACCTCTATCAGGGACACAACCAAGCAAGCACCCTAAGAGAGAGACTGCCCCTTCCTGGGCTGGCTGCACAAGGGTTGGGGTAATCCAGTTTCCAAGGCACTCTGTCTGAGGGCAAGATCATCTCCGTCTTCGATTAAGGCTCAGAAATAATTAGATGGAACCTTAATCTATCTGGGCACTCTGCAAATGGATTTTGGGCTGCCACCCATAGCTGTTTGTAACCTGAGGTGCTCAGAATTTAAGCCCCAGTGCAACACCTGCTTTCGTGCCCTGAGCTAGAAAGATAGAAAATTCTTATTTGAGCCACTCACTGTGGGAAACACTGCTTCAGTGTAAGGATAGGAAGTTTCAATGCTATTCCAAAATATTTTTGGACAGTTAGAAAAAATAATTTTGGTGACTATCACTTACACAGAATATGAAGTGTTTTCTTACTGTGCTAGATTTGTTTCTTGGTGAGTTCTTCAGGAACCCAGGGTTGCCTTTTACCTGCCCGGTGAGGTTGGCCCGGAGCTTTGACTCCATGGCCCCGTGGGACATTCTCTGTGGTCTGCCCTCTTCTAAAGCCCGTGAACTCTTTAAGAACAAAGACTGCATCTCTTCTTGAGTACTGTATGCGTGTCACGTACCAACACTGCCTCACATATATTCAATGCTTTAAACCAACCAACCAACCAACTCACCCAAAACTCACTGCCATCAAGTTGATTCCAGCTGCCCCTGCGAGTTTTTGAGACTGTAGCTCTTTTCAAGAAAGCTTCCTCTTTCTCCTGTGGAGCAGCTGGTGGTTTTGAACAGCTGACCTTGAGGTTATCAGCCCAAGGAGTAACCATTACATCACTAGGGCTTCCCTCAAGTGCTTAATAAGTGTTTATTAAATAAACATTATGTCATTCGATCCTGGATGTAACATTGTACAGTAAATAGGCTAGATTTTTATTATTATTCACTATTTACAGATGAGGAATTCTAGTGGTCTTCCCAGAGTCACATAACTAAATTTGCAGAGCTGAGATTCTTATGATCCTAAAACTTACATGTCTCTCTCAAACTCACTGCCACTGAGTTTATTCTGAATAACAGGAACCCTAGGGAAGAGTAGAATTGCTCTTTTGGGTTTTTGAGACTAAGTTTAAATAGTTTTTTTAATTTAATTTAATTTTTTCTTTTTCTATATATTTTTTAAATTGGGAGCTCATACAATTCTTATCACAATCGACTCACTCACTCTCACTCACTCACTCTCTCACTCACTCACTCACTCACACTCACTCACTCACTCACTCTCTAATTCACTCACTCTCTCAC